GGCGCCACCGGGCCCTCTGACCACCACCAGTAGGCAACGGGTGAAGTGCAACGACTGGGACTGTCGGAGCCGGGGCTCGAACCGGCAACTTTCCGATTACAAGGCGAACTCCCAACTCTTGAGCCACGATCGCCCCAATCGTTAAGATATGTTAAGACCGAGGGCCTCAGCAGACCCCGGGTTTTATAATCCTCGATGTCAAAGCAAAGCAGTTCACTGAAATACGAGCAACAAAGTCCAGATGCAGACAAATGAATAGATTTGCACTTCTTCTTTCTGCTGCCCCACCACATGTCCTTAACTACATCCGTGACCCGGCACAGTCCCTGCATATCAGGGGTGTCCGACTCCAGGCCTGGAGGGCCGGTGTCCTGCAGGTTTAGATGTTTGATCCAACACAGCTGATGTAAATGTCTAAATGACTCCTCAACATGTATTGAAGTTCTCCAGAGGCCTGGTGATGAACTAATCAGGTGACTCAGGTGTGCTGACCCAGGGTGAGATCTACAGCGTTTCCACTGTTACCTGTTGGCCAACGGCACAGTGGCGGTCAGTGCTGCCCCGGGCCTCGACCAATCCTAGGCAGAAATCTGATCCGGCACTGCCCCTGCCATGGACCCCCCATATATACACTGCAGGGTTTTTCTCAACAGTAACCACGGCGTAGGAAGCTCAGAGGCAGAAAGTTGAGTTTTCTTTGTCCAGAGTTAAAGAGCCACGAAGCGTGAGCGGTCAGGTCGGATCAGATCATGCGAGTCCAGATATTCCTAATCAGACCTGCTGCGCAGCACTGTTGTCTTTTTTAATGAACATGACTTTCAGCCATCACTGATTGGACTAGCACGCAGTGGCTCGCAGCGAATCAGCTGAGGTACGATGACAGGACGTGATGTCACAGCTCATGTCCGACATGTGAGACATTCTCTTACTGGTCTTGCAAAGAGTTGAAATGGGAAGAAATGTAACAAATTCATCGACTTTTATGCATAAAAACACGTCAGGAATCTTTATCATTTTAGTGTCTGCACCGTCACCGTCACCGGTGTCATTCCAGTTGCAACAGGAGCTGCATGGCAGACTCACGCATTTCACATTTCATGCATGCAGCATTTGAGAAAAAGAACCGTGAGCTTTGGGCGCGCTGCAGGACGCTGCAGGACGCTGCAGGACGCTGCAGGTCACGCCCTTGCTATGTCGCCATGTCTGTGCACATTGTTAGTGACACTTCAAACCTGAACTCATTTCCTCCCCTTCTCGAGTTCTGGTCCATTTATTAACAGTTTTTACCAGATTCTCAGCGGCTCGTTGCACCTCTGCGCCGGTCCCTCACACACTAAACAAGCGTCAGTACCTGTTGAGACGCGTCTCCACTTTGAGAGAAGCGCTGTGTGCGAATCACACAAGTGGCAGCGCTGCAGCGACTCGGTTAATTATTTAAAGCTGCCGCCTCAGTCAGGATCCAACAATAATTAATGTTTTTACAGGTAAGCCTTTAATGAGCTATCAGACCGCTCCAGGTCGTTTCCCTTACAGATGAATTCTTTCCTGCAGTCCTGGATGAACATGAATCGTTAGCGGCGCTCAGTCATCAGGGCGGCGATGGGCCGATAATTCACAGTAACGTGTCGTAGTCTGAGAGTCAGACGGAGACGCCTCAGTCGTTTGTTTTCCGTGTTTCAGAACTTTTCATGTCAAAGACGTCGCTGATTTTGGGTGGGAGGTGACCCACAGCGCCCGGACCTGAGTGTTGGTGACAAACAACCTGTTTATCAGGCGCCGTGAGCCGCCACACAGATGTCAGCAGAGAGGATGCACGCCTGCGGCGGGCAAAGAGGAAGGAAGCTCCCGCAGCTCATTAGCCGGGACTTTAGACAGGTTTTTTCCTTCCAGCCTCACAATATCAGATGGCCTTTCCTTCCTTCTCTCTCTCCTCATCCATGTCCTCTTCCTCCACGCCTCCTCTGACAGCTCGTCTAGATCTCTTTCCTCTGCTTGCCACTGGAAGTGCATCGCTACAGTTTGCAATTAGCATCACAACTGTGACAGGAAGCTGAGAGCTCAGGCTGAATCTCTCTGCAGATCAAGAAGATGAAAACAGAGGCGGAGGAATGGAGCATGTACTGTCTGCTACATGCTCACAACCCCAAAATAAACTCAGCTGATGGAGCTCAGACTGGTGGAGACCCCATCGTTAAACCCTCTGAGGATGGTGGAAGAACAAAGCTGCGAGTGGCTGCTGGTGATCATCTGGGTCGACACACTAAACATTAACATCAGCCCACGATTTCCACATTAATGCAACGCAGCTAACAACAAACAAACAGCCAATCACGTGGCAGGATCGATCCAAGCTGAAATCACAAACCGTGATGAAGAAAAGGGATTAAAGTTGAAAACTAGAACGTGTTGAACGTAATAATAGAAGGCACGGTGGTGCAGCGGTCAGCACTGCTGCCTCACAGCAAGACTGTTCTAATCCAACATCTGGCCACAGCTGGGGGGGGCTCCCGTGACCCTGCACTGGGGAAGTGGAAGAAATAATGAATCAAAATTAAGCTCGAAGCGAACGTTCAGGCCCAAAATGCAAAATCCTCCTAAACTCAACTGGAAACCTCCTGCAGTCAAAGCTA